GTTAATAGGGAGCGCCTTTGTCGTACCCAGCACCTCTCACAAAACTGTTACGATAAAAGATGATTATTTGAAGATTGGCTGATTGAAAGGCGATGAATGGCTGCCACCTGGCACCAATTTACTCGCAAGACTAGCGCTCCTCGTCCTCCTCTTCCCTTCGTCCTTTCTGCCGCGTTAGCGTAGCAGTATTATGTGTATGCTTAGTCGACTTGACAAAGTTTCGTCACCCGGGCATTTTGTATTGAAATGCTTAAAGAATGTTTGAGAAAATGGGATGCTCTATAACACAGCTGACTGGCGAAAATTGTGATTCGCGCGAAACCACGGAACCGAAAGAAGCTTTGAAAAGGGGTCTTGCCACCTTCTACAATATCTCTGCTGTATGAATATGCTTTTCAAGGAGGTCAGGGTCTCTGTTTAGGCACAGTGGCAATGCCTAGCAGCGCCACTCTTCTGGGTCCTCAGCATATAATATATATATATATATATATATATATATATATATATATATATATATATAATAGATATATATGCTGAGGACCCAGAAGAGTGGCTGGAGAAGCTGGAGCGCATCCGTATCTTTAACAGGTGGGATGACAAGGAAAACGTTCGTCATGTCTTCTTCTATTGGAGGATGCAGCTCGAACGTGGTTTGAAGAACCATGAAGGCTCCCTAACCGACTGGACTGTCTTTAAGAGCGAATTCCTCAAACATTCGCTACGGTTGTGCGGAAAGAACGAGCCGCCCTTTTGTTGGAGACGCAAATGCAACACCCTAACGAAGGTGTTGTACTGTGTACTGAGCAGATGAAGATGCTGTTCCGGAGAGCTCACCCCGAAATGACAGAAGAGAAAGAAGGTGCGCTTTCTGATGCGGGGAGTTAAACAAGAGCTCTTCGCTGGACTCATCCGCAACCCCCTAAGACCGTCGCTGAGGTCGTCACCGAGGCTTCGATGATCGAGAGGACCTTGGATATGCGTTCGCGGCAATACGATAGGCCACTCAACACCCTTTCGGTGAACTTGGTAAACGCCCCTGGATTGGCGACGGAAGACTTGCGGGAGACCATCCGCGCCGTCGTTCGCGAGGAACTGAGGAAATTGTTCCCAGCAACGCCGCAGCCCCAAGTCGCCTCCCTCACTGACGTCGTCCGCGATTAGGTTCAGCAAGGACTGGGGAATTCAACGCCGTCGAAGCATCTTTTCGAACCCCAAGCGATGACCTACTCCGCTGCTGCTCGTCGACCCCGACCCGTCCCATCCCGTTATCAAGAGGCCCCGCCGTACCGCCGCCCAATGTCGCCCGCCTGACCCCTTGTAACCCGAAACCAGGCGCCCAGAAAGACCGAGGTGTGGCGAATGCCAGATAATCGTCCGCTGTGCTACCACTGCGGAGAGGCCGACCACGTCTACAACCGCTGCCCGTACTTGTGGCTGGGTTTTCGTGGGTTCTCCGTCGACGCACCCCGCTCGCGAGCCGGCCAGCGCCCATTTGAGATCGAAGAATACCTGTCGAACACCAGCCGTGGACCATCCCGTTTCAAACCGTCCGCCGTCGCCCTACCCGTACCAATCCCCCAACCATCGCAGCCATGCTGACTTCGCCCGTGGAAGGTCCCCCAGCCCACGAGGGGGAAGCTGAAAGCAGCAACTTCTGGAGGTGAAGTTGCACAACGGCGAGAAAATGAAAACCCTCCAACGACGCAAGACCGTGACTCACGACATGCCCTCATCCCGACGACCCGACGACACCCTGACGAGACCCTCGAAAACGACGACTGCTACGCTGCGCGACGCGTACCCGAAATGACGTAGCCTGCCACTGAGAAGACGACGATGACGACGCATAGTGCCCGACCATCAACA